AAAGAACATGGAAACTAATATAGTATATCGGGGTAATATTGGGGTCATATTAGGAGGCTCAAAAAGAAAATGGAAACTACTACATAATAATAGGGTAAATATTGGGGTTAGAGGGGGATAATGGAAAAGAACATGGAAACTGCTATAGTATATTGTGGTTATTAGCCATTGCCGGCAGTCGGACCATTCTCGTATTGAATGTAGCTCTTTGCACATTTCACCCTAAACCCTAAACCCTAAACCCTAAACCGCTTCACAGCTGCTTTGAATGACACGTGCAGATGTGCATGGGCAGCACTGCCCAGCCAGCCTTAGAGAAGTCTAAGGCCTCAGAAACAGGGGCTGCTGCTCGGAAGCTGCAAGGCTCCGTCTCAGTTACCGGCACAAGGGCGCGGTCATCCAAACGATTTTTGCTAGATTTTGCAAGTGACATTGAACGCAAGACATCCAGGATATCTAGAATACCGCAAGACTTGAGGACAAACACGCCGGTAGAGGTGGCCTTCGCGTTTCATTCAGAAGCTGCAGATGCGGCCACAGAACCGGCTCACTCTGATCAATTGACGCTGCCAGGACATAAGGGATATTGTGAACTGAACGTGATTTGAAGAAAAAACTTCGAAATTCATCTCTAATTTTGGAAGGGAAGGCTATGCACGTGCAGCCCGTCCAGGACGTCAGAGCTGCCATTTAGTCCAGAGTGTGCGTCCTCTTTTTCAAAGCTGGCCATTAAAGACGGAAGAGCGAAGTAATTATGTGTAATCATGTATGTAGTGGCATTGTATTTACTGATGCAGGGGCATTCTGATGAACTGGGGTCCATGTTTTGAAGGTCACGCCAAAACTGCTTGCAGGAAAGACCGCTTCGACCAACACCAAAAAAAGTTGCTTTGCACGGGAGCACAGCGAGATGGTAGAAACCGCTGGACACAAGTCGACTGATGATCCTCAGTTCATGTCCCAACATGAAAAAGGGAAATTCAAGGGTGAAGCTAACAGCTATAGCAAGGACTTAATGCCTTACACAACCTTTACTTAGAACATGCCCAAAGTGGCAGACTTTGACGCCGTGGCTTGAGTGCATGCCGTTGCTGCCTCTGCTGCGGCAGCCCAGCACACCGTCAGCTTTCGAAACTCGGTTGCATTTGGACGTGTAAGACGTCTCTGAATGGCATGAGTGGCACATCTCCTTGCAGGTGGCCTTGCTTTTGACGCTGGCATTTCCAGGCCAATGCAGACTTCAGACTTCAAATGAGTAGGCAAATGCTTCACATTATCTCACATTGATTGTTGAGGCTGCAAGGCCATGGCATGACTCTAGTTGCTGCCTCCTGGCATCTTCCTGGACGGCCGCGTGCCGCTGCACTGCTACCAAGCATAACACTGCCAGGGGTATGTGGGGGTTTCCCAAAATTAGGGTACCCTTTTGGGGGTCCCCATATTAAGGACTATAGTATGTTGGGGTCTACATTGGGGTCCCCTTATTTCGGGAAATTACCATGTATCACGCTTCAATGCTACCTGCCGCAGCAGCTTCCAGAGCTAGCTGCAGGGACTCAGCATCTTGCACTCTGCAAGGTGGCTACAAAGGGGGGGGGGTTCCTAAAATTACGGGTATTCTTTTGGGGGTCCCCGGCCCATAATAAGGACCATAGTATTTTGGGGTCTATATTGGAGTCCCAGCCACTCTGGAAGGTCCAAACTGAACCTGCAGACACCAATGTTGATGGAGGGAATCTTGAACAACTTGGGTCCAAAAACTACGGAAATTCCTGGGAATGAAGGGAAATGGGGCGGTGCAAGATTTTTCCATCAACCGTACAACCATGCCTCTCAATTCCTGAAGACAGCCCTAAAACCCCTAAACCCTAAACCCTAAACCCTAAAACAGCAGGTGTGGGCTCCATTGCGAACTTGAGCCTTGAGTCGCGCCGCCTGCAGGCCTCCGCAACGGAAACTCTGCGTCGTTTGCAGAGTCCGTGACATATGAACTATAGTCTAAACTCCTTAAAGGGGCCTATTGAGGGTATAGGGGATTATTATGAGGCTTATTTAAGGGCTGACGCCGTGCCGCCGACCCCCAAGAAAAGGGGGCGGCGACGTCTGACGGTACTGGAGGTGCTTCAGGCAAAGAGTGCTTTTTGCCGGTCCCAGAGGATTTTCTTGAGGCTGGCATGTTCCTGGGAAAGATTTGAGGGCAGTGCGGAAGCAA